ACCGATAACCTTGTTACCTCAGCTGATAAAAACGAATGTCGATGCCATTTGATGGAAGAGTATTTTTCTTATAGGCATCCGGAAATTCCATGAAAATACCTTAATCCTTGTCATGACGTCTCGCGATAAGAATTCTCTCAGACGTACTCATAGTCCAGACATCGAAACTGAGAGGAAATTGTCCTTCGATGATAAAGAAGAAACCAGAAACCGATCGAGTAGCCAAATGTAGACAGAAATGCATTCGAACAATATGAATACCTRTTGTATGTTGTTCTTTGCCAGCTCGCCCTGGGGTGGGGCAATATTTGCTGGCTCATAWTAGTTTTGTTTCTGTTTTTCTTTATTTTGTAATATTTGATCTTTTATTTGATCTTTTAATATTTGCGCTTATGATCTTTTAATGTCAGAGCGCTATAGTGTAAATAAATGATGATATAAATAAATTATTATATTCGTTTCATGGATTTAGCGTGAGGCACTAGCTTCAAAAATCACCTTACATACATGTTCTACAGTAAGTACGTTCTCTACTAGAGAGGGCTTGAAATCAACCCAACAAAAATTGAGTATCTCTGACTCCACGATAAATCGCTGAGTATTGCTTAAAGTGCTACTTGCATGAAAATGGCCTTATTTCAAAACTTCAAGCAATACAAATATATGACTCATTGATATCTATTAAAAACAATTACGGGAAAATATTTGTTTTGGAATTGCCCCACATCAGATAAATTTTGATTCAAAAGATGGAAGAACAAAAGGATGGAGTAAATGACGTCATCTACTCCAACATTTTTTGTTCAAATTATCAACGATTTGTATCAATATCTTCTTGAAATCTGTTGCTTCAGGATTATTAGACCCATATGGATAGGTCTATTTGATTTCCAAGTCTTTTCTAATGATTCGAAATTTTCGTCCAAGTAGCCCTAAAAATAAAACAGAAATAAAACAGAAACAAACAAACAAACTAAGCAAAACTAAGATTATATAGTTATAAGTATTACAATATGAATAAGGCTATTAAATCAAAAGTATATTCAGTATAAC